ATATGAAGTCTCAGTTATTTCAGTGCATTCATCATAAGATACATGAAATAACATTGATCTGCTTGAATTCTATACTTTTTTTTTCAGTTGTAGACATATATATCTTGCTGTCATATGTACAAATCCCTTTCTTTCCTGGTGGGACATAATGCTAGAGAGAAATACCCCGGTTCAAAACTTTTGACATTTCTGTGGGACTCTTACTATTGCCTTTTGCCATTTCTCTCCCAAAAACTCATTAATGCAGAGCCTACAGCTCAGTTTCTTCTCAGTAAATAACCCTTGGTGGAAAGGACTCTTTTTCTCACTTGCATGCAGCCCAGCCCAGCAGTCTGTGCAGCCTCTCTGGACAATCTGCTCCAGGGCTCCACTGTCCTCAGGGTGGAAACCTCTTCTCCATGTGTTTGAACCTCTCAGGAACATTTTGTGACCACTGTCTCTCTTCTTGCTGCTGCACACTCCCAAAAAGAGAATAGCTCTGCCTCCTCCAGCAGACACTGACAGGTTGCCATCAGGCCTCCCAAAAAAGTTCTATTTTTTCCCAGCCTGAAAACCTCCACACACCTTAGTGTCTGACCAAGTTCTCTGGCCATGGTGCCTCAATGATGGCACTGGGGTCTCTTAGATGCAAAATACTCCATGGTCAAGCTCCTAAAGAATCTTCCACAAAGCTTCAAATCCCAAATTTGCTTAAAGTGGAGAATTGTTTAAATGCAGAACCCTGAAATATTTATTTTTTATGACTAAATCATATAATATTTAGGTTATATGGCAGCGTATGCAAGCTATTTTTGAGGGTAGGTGTCAATAATGGTTAAGAAGAAAATCTGACATATCCCACTGCAAAATATGTTCAAGCAGGAAAAATCAGGTCTTCCAGGCTTATATGTATTTCTGAAAAGCAAAAAATATTTGCTTTAAAATTAAAAACTGTAATTAAAAAGAATTTCAAACAAATATTGTAACTCAAATTTGCAACTGCAAAAAACAAGTCAGTTTTCAGTTATCATTAATGTAGGAGCATTTTTTCCCCCACTAATAGGCAAACAATTTCCTTGGGGAAAAAAAAATTCTAACGCACATTTGTGAATAACATTCATGGCAAAAAGGTGGGGGTTATTTCTAGCTAGCTTGTATAGAAGACATGATCACTCCCACTGCATGTCATAAATTTGCACAGTGGAGCACTCTTGGCAGTTTTCTGATGGGACCATTTTTTAAACTATAATAAGTAGATCTCCTCAGCCTCTCCTCCAGTCTTGTCATAAATCTATCACACCAGCCCCTGGCTTTCCATTTCAGCCCACACACACCTGCCTCATCCCCTTATACTTTCTCTAACATAGTTTATTTGTGCATAGCAGCTTCCCTCTCTCAGATCTCACAGCTTGGGGGTGCAGCACCGTCCCTGCCTGCCTCTCAGTGCTGCTGTTCAGCTCAGCTTCCCATGCCGAGGGTCAGTGCCAGTGAGGCTGTGCTGGCCAAAATTTGTGAAAAGCAGCACAAATTGCACAAAAAAAGCTCTTCTTCAGGTGAGGTCTCCATGGCAAGGAAGCTGTCCTGAAAGAAGGAGCAGAGGCTGTTAAAGCAGCTGGTGTTCCTCAACCTTGCCCAAGACAGGAATGCAAGACTAAGATCATAACCTTGCACAGATCTGGCAAGAGTTTCAGCACTTTCTTTCCATATTTGAGCTGGAGGCTGCAACTCTTTCACTGCCATGCTCTTTTTGTACCAAAACAGAGCCCACCCCCCAGTTGCTCCTTCCAAACTTCTTACAATATTATCTTTTTCTGAGTCTGGACACACCATGCTATAGATACAATAAATTGTGTAGCTCTCATACTGAGGTGCCCAAACTGAACTGACAACTCTCAGAGTAAAATCATGGCCTTGTACCTGTTTTAACCACCACGCCTTCTTTGGGGCATGGCCAAAACTCCTGCCATCAGAAATCACACTCAGAAATGTTTTATTTTTGGAGGGTCCCTCTCACACCTCCAGCACAGCTGATACCACAGTCCTGTGTAAACTTCTGCCTCCCCAGCCTTGACAAGGCATGGTGATTAAAACAGGTACAAGGCAGAAATTCACCCTCTCCCCGGGAACCATGCACAAACTCACCCTCTCCCTGGGAACCATGCAGTGGAGGCTTCCAGTGAGGGTGAGAGTGAACAATGTGCAGCAGACTCCTGCCTCTTGCCACTGCCTTTGGCAGTGCCCAGGCACATCACCCAACATCCTCAAATTCTTTGTGAATGACCCTAGAGAAGGCACCTCAGCTGGTCATGAGCCCAGTGTACTGACACTGTGACAGAAAATTAACAAAAAACCCAAAACTCTTGACAAGCCCATGAGTTGTCCCTGAGCCCTTTCTCTCTGAGTGGGAGTCATTCCTCCAGACTGCATCAGTAGCATCTCCTCTGCCCTGACTTGGGCTCCTGCAGCATCACCGATGAATCACACCCTCAAACAACTTCTCTCTGTTCACTTTACTGGGAGTCTCACACAGCTGGCTCTAACACAGGCAACAGCTCTGCAGATGTCCATGCTCAGACATTTGGCTTCCCTGCTCTGGGCCAGCTGCTGGTGAGAAGCAGATCCCTGTTCCTTCCCACCCCTTCAGCATTTCTAGAGCTGCCTGAAGGAGAACGCTGAAACTTTTCTCCTGAAAGGGAGCATCCAGGACTGGGCTCCAGCTCTGTGCTGAGTCCTCCACAGCTGCTTTTTCCCTTGCTTCTTCTGCTTCTGCACCACAGTGGGACAGTCAGAAGTGACAGTGCTCTGAGTGGGAGGCTTCCTCCAGAGGTGGGGTCAGTACTCTCCTCAGAAAAGTCAAAAGGCCATCTAAATTACCAAGTGCTTTTTTAGCACTCCATAGCCTGGGGACTGGGAGAGGAGATGAAGAAGATACTTTTGAGCCACTGTCCTCATTTTTCAGCTCCCTAGGTTATTTATGAGACCTAGCTGAATCCTAAGCTTCATATTTTCACCAGGAAAAATTAGGATATTTTTAATACCAGCATTTTCCATGCAATTTTGTAAATACTTCACTTTTAAAATCAAGTTCGGATCACCTGCTGTGTCCTGCAGGTGGCCATAGCTCAGCACTTTGATTTCTGTGTGGCACCTTGTTGACAGCCATGGGGCTGCTCTCCCCTGATCCCTTCACATGCCATCCCGTTTGAATCCCTGTCCTCTAGGAATGTGTTTCTCATATTGCAGTGCCTTGGCCTCTGAGCGTTTATTTGAACAGACAGCTACAGCTGGGGGTTTTTGTGTCTGCACAGACTTTGAACAGCTGCTTGTGGTTCCACCCAGCCCAGCTCCCACCCTCTGGTGGGAAGCACATCAGGCTGGGAAGAACAAAATAGCAGCAATCCTCCCTCTGGGTGTCATGGAGCTCCAGTAGGAGCAGGACACAGCAGAGCCAGGTAGAGCAAGGTCAGCACAGAACCAGCTGATGAACTGTACAGGCCAAATGTGGAGCTCCCTGAATGCCATCAATGAAAAATGGGGGCTTTTTATAACACAAACAGGAGATGACCCAGGCTGGGGAAGGGCTGTCCCCATGGGAAGCAGTTTTGTGCACCTTGGCTGCTCCTCTGCTCTGTGTGTGTCAGGCCCAGGGCAGCATCACTGAGCTGGATGTGCTCTTATTACCCAGATATGTTCATGGCATCTGTAGATGGGCACTAAGCACAGATGATGGCATCAGTGTAAGAAATTTTTACCACTTGGAACTAAAGAGTCCCAGGAGACTCTGCAAATACAAACTGTGCTCTTCCAAGAATGTGGCTTATTACTGGCTTAACCCCAGTGGTTGAGCTGCCAATAAACAGTCCTGCTCTTTCACTGTCTCATCCCTGCAGTCTTCCTCTCCCTCCTCATCCGTTTTTCTGAGTGACACTGGAAGTTTTGTGGAATGGCTTTTCTGATCTGGCTGGAAAAGAGGTTTAGTTCAGATTTTAGGGGTTTTTGGGTGGGCTGATTTTCAAGCCTGATCACTGACCTACTGATATACGGAGCAGGCATAAGGGCAATGAGCTGATCCAAGGAATGGAGTTTAAAACACATGAAAAGAGAACATGTCTGTGCAAACAAGGTCAAGGAGCAGACAAGATCTCATGGTTATAACCTGACACAGCTGCATTTTCCATGCAGCTCTTCACAGTGTGTCAGTTTGCTGATGGTGCTTCTGCAGCAGAGGTTCATGACTTTGCAGGAAAGTCTTTGCAGGAAGTCTTCACCTTCTCCCAGAGAGCCATCTTGCAGGCAAGCCTGAGCTTGGACTTTGTTCTTCCTCTGGAGAAATGTAAAATCTGAATTGCTCTGAAGGGGGTGAGAAGATCACCCTGGATTTCTTCAAACATGATCCCAGACACACCAAGATTTTTTCCCTCTGTCCAAAAACCAGTAGAAAAAATTCAAAACATCTCTGTGGTTAAGCAGAAGGCTGCACTAGCACATCTTCAGAGCGAGCTGTTGTTCAGATGCTGTCCTTATCATGGAAAAAAATCAGCAATGGTTTTCTCTCTTCTCCCACCTGCCCAACAGGTCTTCAAGGAGACACACACCCAGGATCAAAATTTTATGTTGCAAAGAGCAAGGTAATTTGAATCATCCTGAAATTTCATGTCTTCACAAAAGTAATGTTCTCTCAAAACTACTGCTTTGCTAAGATGTAATTCTTAACTTTTAAACTGTGATATCCAACACTGCAGGGAAAAACAAATCAAAAATCCCACTTAAAAAAAAAATAAAAATATGTTTTCTTCTGAAATTATGTTGAAGCCAGATACATCTACATAATGTGAATCTTTTTTTTTGAAGTAAAATTTCAGGCTAAATCAACATGGCTTTACAGTGTATTTTCATAGCAAGTGACTCTTTACAAATGCAAAATAATTTCTCAGCAAGTTACACACCAAAACTCAGGAATGTGGGAAATCCAGATCAGGAGCAAGCTGAGAGTGTGCTTACTTGAGTTCTTTGTTAATTAAGATGGATTAAGTCTTTGCTGTGGACTGGAGATTTCTCAAAGGTGGGGCAGCAAGGTGTTGTCTCTGGTGAGATTAGGAAATCTTTATTTTTGTTTCCAGTGCTAATACCCCAGACAATATAAATGTGCAGAATGTGATCTAGTAAAAGCTTTCGGTCTCAGCTGAGGCTTTGCATTCCAGCTGTCAGGTTTTCACTTGTGTACCTTGGAGCCTGGCTTCAAGGGATACGATAGAAGAGATAATTGGAGTGGAATGGCTGCCAGCAAGAGAAAAAAAATGTTTCAATAAAAAGTATTTTATTCTGCTATGGATACTTATATGAACAAATGGCACCCTTGGGTAGAAACCAAAAATAATCCTAAGCATTTGTCTCCCTCCCTCTCTCCCCATAGCTCCCCTGCAGCAGGTTTCATACCACACACAACATTGCTGCCTGCAGATTTCTATCGGTGTTTCACTGCAATGGGCCCCAGGAGCTTTCAGAGCCAGGATTGCTGTGCTGTTCCAAAGGCACTGTGGAACAGGGAATTCAGGGGCTGAAAATGAGCAGGGACTGGGGGTGTCCCTCTCAGGGGCACCTGCCTCCCCTCCTTGTTTTTCCTGGTCATTGCCATTGCAATGGGAAAAGGCTGAGCCCTGGGGCTGCCCCGTCTTGCTGAGGTACCTGGCACCAGCCCCCAGCCCTTGCCCACCCCCTGGATCTGGAGGGTTTACTTCTGTGATTTGTCCAGCGCAGAGATAAGAATAAATCCTGAAACTCTTACAGGACCTCACACTTTGAACTCTGCTTCCCTCCCTGTAGCAACCCAAATCTGACTTTCACAAGAGACTAAAGGTTTTCAGGTTGTCCAGACCCAGCCTTTGAAAACATGTTCAAAATCAAGTGACCTTATTTATTAATAGCACTTCTCTAAACAAAACTTTCTGGAGGAAGTACTGTGTTTACATGCTGACTCTGTTGTCAGAAAGTCAGAAACCCAAAGTCAGAAGCTCACAGGGAAAATATCTCAAAGCTATGCACGGCTTATATTGAATTCTTCTGCTCAGCCCTGCCTCCCTGTTCCCTCTTGGCAGCTGAATCTGTAAATTGGATAAACTATTTCAACTGGTCCTTAAAATCAACTAACTAGCTCTCTAGCAAGTCACTAAATTAGCATGGCAGATGAGAAATCCCTGTCATTGCACATTTTCATTATCAGCTCCTAAGGGAACTTGAACTCCAGTGAGGATGTGGTCAGTTAAACCAGCAGCTGAAAGCCCATGTGAGCATCTCATGTATCACAGCTGTGATGGGAGCTGGGATGCTGAGAGTGGTGAGCAGCACCCCCAGCCAAGCTGTTTTTGTCATCTCGAGCTGGGAGCTGCTGCCTCTGTGCCAGATGAGCTACTGGAGTGTGGCTCCATGCCCAGTCCTGGACTGCAGGATGGAGGATGTCCCTGGGCTGAAGCTGTGCACGTGGTAGGACCAGCTCCTGACTTGGAGAGTGACACTGCACAGCCTTCCCACACCCCAACAGCATCCTGGAGCTGCTAATGGCTCTCCTGCACCTGCAGGGGTGATGGGTCAGTCAGCTGTGGCCAAAAAGTCATTAGTGTTCAGTCTGCTCTGCTCCCTCACCTCGCTCCCTGCAGAAACACCTAGGCACAGGCAGCTCTGGTTTAGAAAGGTTTAAGATGCTGTGCCCTTTGCCAGTGATTGCTATGGTGGAATTTGAGAGTCTGATCTGTCCTCCTCTCTGGTCAAGTCCTGCATGGGCCAGGAAGCCTGCCCTTGATGACTCAGTGGGAAGCCAGAACCCACCACTTCTGCCTGAATCCTCATCTTTGTTTGTCTGCTTTCTTGTTCTAAAGCGCTGCACTTAACTTTGAAAAGGCAATGTAAAATCTTTTTGGTTTCTCATTTGAACATGACTCTGCATGTCAGTGTCTTCACTGATAAATTCATGTATGAATTTCCAGTTCTTTTACACATATCCTTCTTACCCTGTCCTAACAGGAGTGATTAATGACACCAATATGATCATGCACTTCCGAAGTGATAAATGGCTTTTACATCAAATATGCAAAGATCTGGGGAATGCACAGGCCAGTGTCCTGCACATTGCAAAACAATGACACAAATGAACTAAGGCCCCTCTTTTTCATCGACTATCCAAGTCAATAAAATTTCCTTAATTAGACTGTTTGGTTTGATGTTTGCTTCTTAGCAGAAGGAAGTTAAAAAAAGGAAACCCCTGAACACCAAAGGTGAATATAAATTTTATTTTTCTTAATGTTGCTGTTATTTTCCAGCCACATTTTTTACTACTGAACATTTCCTGTGCAGGATTTCCACCAGACTTCTTACGTGTACTTGCCCCAATGTGCAGCTATGTTCATCCTTCACTGGAGACAGATACTCTCACACAGAGAGTAAAAATCTGTTTTTTTAAATGCATATAGTGCTGTAGCAAAAGCACATCTGGATGATCTTGAGGGAGCTATTCACCAAAGGCCTAAATATTTCAGAAATATTGTAAATTCCTTTTTATTTCAGATTTTAATATTCAATGGGCAGGATCTGCTGCCAGTGACATGTGCATAAATGCTGAATTGACCCCTCAGTGCTGCTTTGATTTCACTGATTTGCTGGAACGTGGTGTTTGTATACACAGTGGAACAGAGTGTCAAAGCATTTTGATTTATGCCAGATTTTTAGTGTTCTCATTAATGCCATGCTATGGCTTACCCTCTGGAATGACTGGGAGCTGATGGTGCTATGGGCTCCTCTGGAAGGATCTTAATGTCTCACCATGGGTTCTCCCAGGCCTGAGAAGGGGCAGCTGGCTTTCTTAGATCCCAACCCAAACTGTAAGAACTACCACAGAGTCTCTTCTTTGCTATTTTTGGGCCATAATTTGGGATATGGGGCTTGGAAAAATGCAATATTTCTCAAAATTCCTTCAAAGTCAAGCCCAGTGTGAGGCACTCCCAGAAAGCATTTCAAATAAGTAAAGCATGGGCTTCAAGTGTGTCAAAATAGCCCTTCTCCAGGAACTGCAACAAAAAAATAACTCCTACAGCTGGCTGGTCCCGAGTAGACCCAGCAGAAAAGGCACAAAAATGCAGAGTCCTTGGTGACACCTAAGGGACCTGCCAGGGTGCTGCCTGCACCAGGCTGGGTCCTGAGGTACAAAGGTACACTGCTACTCAGAAACCCAAAACAGGAAACCCCAAACAAGCACAAAGCAGCAAAGCAATGAGGAAAAAAGCTCATTCATGCTTTATCCCAACAGAGCCAGCTGTTGGTGAGCCCAAAGGGACAACAGAAATGCCACCAGGTTGGGATCTCAATTTGTCAACTCAGATTCTGTGCATAAATCCCATGAACCAGGGGGCATTCCTGTATGGTTTTGGGGGGCTGCTTGGCCTGCTCAGCCTCCAAAGTGCCTGACAGGGTTTCTGAATACATTTTCCTTTAGAAAAATGACTTTGCACACCCCAAGGCTGAGCCCCAGGCCTGGCATGGAGCTGTGCCAGTCAGGTGCCCTGACCCCTCATGGGGGTGGTAACAAAAGCCACCCACTCTTAGAGCAGAAAGATGAAACCCCAAGTTCAGAGGATGTAAGGGCTTGAGTAGAGAGGGTCAAGCCTTTTTAAGTGATCAGATTAGACAGAAGCAATACTAATAAAAGGCTAGATACTGGTAGATTTAAAGCCACTGTGTAAAGACTTGCCAATTTGAATGGGTGCAAGGTAGAACCCACAACAGCAGGGTTTGAGGGGACACTCCAGGTTTAGACCCTGATGCTTAAGGTTTTCATGTCTTCTTTAGGCAAGGATGGTAGGCTGAGCACATCCTCTCCATGGGTCCTTAGCAATCTGAATTATTCCCTGGGTCCATGAACATGTTCTAAATGTGCAGAAGAACTTCCTAAAGTTTCCAAAGTTTCTTGATAAACTGATGGGTCAAGAAACACATGCTTACCGTGTCTTCTAGTGAGTGTCCTTTACTGAGACTGAAAATATCTCAGTTCAGTTCCTGCCACTGCCTCAGACTTTCTGGGTGATCCTGAAAATAAAAACAGTTGGGCTAAGTGTACCAGGAACATAGCATCCTTTCTTTGCCAGGAGCAAAAACAGGTGCTGGGTAAACTGCTGAACCACTAATCCCTATGCTGCACTTTTAGTACCCAAATGTTCAGGAATGAGAGCAACCCTTTCTTCCTTCTGGTCTTTGCTGTCTCTGGAGCAGAGCCCTGTTTTGTCTCTGTGTTTTTAAGTGATCCAGCAAAAGAAGACTCAAGTCTCACCAAGCCCTTGTTGCACTGAGCTGCAAACTCCTCTCTCCTCTGATTGCCCACAGGCACAGCACCATGAAAACATTGCCTTCTGTCACTTAATCTGTCACTGAAGAGCAAACCCTGGAGGATAAATTCAAAGACTGCTTGCTCTTTTTTTTTTTTTTAATGCAATTCAGAGACATGTTTCCACTTCTCTTTGGTTTTGAAGATGGTTTTATAAAGAGACCTAGCACAAAACAGAGATCAGTTTCCTCTTTGCAGGTGCATAATGTCAGTCACACCCTCCTGTCTGAGCTTTGTCCTCCTGCCTGGTCTACAGATAGTATAGGATGTTCTGAGGATGGGAAAAAGATGGGACATGAGATAATAAATCCTCTGGCACAACTCAGCTGCCCTCACTCAGCCCAGAGTGCCTGTGCCAGGCAAAGTGCAAAAGTCTTCTTCCACTAGAGCCTGCAGAGACAGGGGTGAGTTTGTTGTGATTTAGAGAATCCAAAGGTTTGTGCCAAACCCTAAACCAAACACTTGTGTTGTCACTGATACCATTTCAGGAGGGAGCCAGAGGCATCAAGCAATAAATTCAAGAGAATTAAAACCATCTGCTGCCCAGGACTGCCAGCCCTCATCTCCCTGCAGAGCCTTTTGAGGCAAGCAGTTTCAATATCCAAGTTAAATTTCCTTGAAAGCCACCTAAACCCAGCCAGCAATGCTGTCCCTCTTGCAAGCAGCAAGAGATAAAAGCCAAACAGAGCAACAATTTTACTGGAAATTCTAGATCTTTCTGGGACTTCTAGAAAGTCTTGAGTTGGAAGGGACTTTAAAGATCATCTAGCTCCAAACCTCTTGCCATGAGCAGAGACATCAGCCACTAGATCAGGTTGCTCAGAGCCCCATCCAAGCTGGCCCTCTAGATCCTTTATCAGTCAGACACATGTTCCTGATCAGTGAATGCAGACATGGGTTCACACACATCTTTTGGCTGGGTCAGAGTTCTCACATTGGTTGAACACGTGTCCCGAGGAGTCTCCCATGTAAACAGGCATCCATGTGAGTCTGGTTTTCACGGCCCTGAGAGTAATTAGTAAGCTCTGGATTCAGCATCTGGGATTCCAAAGAGTGGATAAAATGTAACCAGAGACAATGACAACACTGTTCCTTACAAAGGGATGGGAAGGAGGTCTGATTTATTATTTGTAATCTGGAGACAAACACCATCAAGGGGGCAATAAGATATTTTTTCAGTGGACTGCATAAAGCTGAAGGAAGTGTCCTCTCAGTGTCTTTAAATTCCTGTGAGCTGAAAGTGCTCCCATCTCAGCAGCAGTTTTCTCCAGAAGCCAGCTAGTGCTCTCAGTGCCTTTTGCCAATGGCAGCTATAATTACATTAAAAGGAAGATTCGCAGAAGCAGAAAGAGGAGAACATGTGCAGACCAATGTTACACAACATTGTAAGGAGTTTGCACACTTCTGTTGTTCCAGCAAACCACTTACAACGACACTCACATACTCTTATTTTCTCTATTTTGGAGATAAGACAATTTTGAATTATTTTGTGGGATTATCTGATAGATACAGAACTTTGACCCATTGCAACCATTCAAGGGGAGTTCGATGACCCCAAAACAATTCTGTGCTATGAATGGCCATTGTGATTCCATTAAAAAAATGGCACAGGATGTCACACATCCTTTCCTGAGCTTCAGAGAGGGATGCTCAAATACAAGAACTTAAAAATGAAACGACATTTCTATGAAGTGGAAGTGACTGCAGTGCATGTTGCCACTTCTATTGGTGTTCGTGTTAAGTACATTTACCTCCAAATGCCGTCCTTTCTCCCCAAGCCTGAGCTGTAATTAGAATTCTACCTTTAAATCTGAGTGCAATTTGTAGGCTTAATAGGGCATCCAGCAGCAATAATGGCAGTAATTACAAATGTGTTCGGTGTTCAGAACTAAAGAAAAATACACTAAAGATGAAAAATGTGATCACTCAAGAATTCTTTTGAAACAACACAGGCAGAAATGGGCACGTTTGCATGGCTATAAATATCACTAGCACAGAGCTTACATTATTTAGGGCACGTGTACAATGAGCACTTTTCTGAAAGACTCTGGGCAGTGATAAAGCTCGAGAGCACTTGCGACCTGGGAAATATCAAAATATTATAATCTGCTGTGGAGACACACTGCTTTTCTTTATGGCTTGCAAAAATATACTCGAGATTCCAGCTGCACTCCGCTGCAGGAGCCCCTGTTTATGGCAAATGGAGAGTGCAGAAGTATTGCTAAAGAAGCTGGCAATGGATCAGCATGAGCAACTTGGTAGCAAGTTACTTTAATGGCATTGTATATCCTGTCCTAAGAGTCATGGTGAAACCTCTTAGGGAACAGTTTGTAACAACCACCTTCCAGTCATCCCTCATGTATCATTAGGATCCAAAACACATGCAGTGTGGACACAAGACAAACTGGTAGGGATCTTGGTTGTCACAAGTTGTTCCTTGGGTCCTTAGAAATTCTGCTTGAATTTGGCAATGTCTTGAATACAAACTGTTCCCAATAAGCCATCAGGAGACCTGAAGTACTCTGTTTTTTTATCTGCCCTCCAAAGAGCAGGCAGACAAACAATATGTCTGAACAACAAAGTGTTGTAGCTCATTTATTTTATTATTTTTCATTTATCCATTAACCATTTCTCCCAGTAGCTCCTCTCAGACACTAATAAACTTGTACCATAATTAAACAGGGATGTTTCCCATGTTTTTCAACCTGTGAAATGAAGTATGAGAAGGTAGAATTTCTCTGATGTTTTTATTTAACCCCAAGCTGCTCCTTTCTCCAGTTATCACACTATATAAATCCAAGTTGTGTACTCAGGAGGTGTCCGACTCCAGGCACTTGGTCTCAGCACATGCAGTACCACGAGGAAAAAGCAATGCTGTGGGACTTTTGCAGTTCTTTCCTTCTGGAATTTCCCACTTATTGTTCCTCCTTCAGTCTCTCAGGAGGAAGAGGTGGTGCACTGTTCTGGTGTCAGCTGTGCCACCACTCCCAAGCTCTCATGTTTCTGCTGACTGGGGAAACAAGGTCCTAAGCTGAAAACGTGACAGATGGTGTTGATGGTTGATGAAATTAAACACAACCTTGTTCTTCAGAACCAAGCAGAAATCCAACATGTCTCTACACCTTGGACAAGTCAAAATTAAATGTTTTCAACCTCAAACTGCATGCTAGAACCTCTCCAGTGCTGTTATCAGTTTAGACATTGAGGCTGGAGGTAAGAGAAGTGTTTCTTGTGATGCTCAACCGTTTCACACAATTGAGAGTAGGAACACAAAGTGCCACTGGAACAGAGTCGTGTCATGACCCTGCTCTGAGCACTGATGCTGGAAGAGCTCTAGCCAAGCTCACAGGGCAGCTGCTGCAGAGCCAAGGCTCCAGGTATGGGTTAGACGGAAAAGACATGGGACCCACCCAAATTATCCTCTGCAGTCCCCTAAAGGCTGCTTGGAAGGTTGGATCAGCTGTCTCCAAAGGCAGCAAACCTGGAGGAATGTCCCCTGGTCGAACACACCAGGTGGGTTAGCTATTCCCAGCCCACAGGAGTCTCAGGCCATCCCTGGTTTCCCTGAGAAGTTTGGATGCCAGTGGGCTGGGAAGCTCCTGTGTGCAGAAGTGGCCCTAGAGCCTGATGGTGTCCCAGCTGCTCTCCTTAAAAGTGGCATTAGGCTCAATTTAGTTGCCCAACCAGCAGTGCCCAGTGCTATTAAGGCACCCTTTGGCCTTTCCTTCCTTACTGCTGCAAACTCTGTGCCCATCTCATAACCATGGCAGACATTTTGGCTCATTAAGGGCACCCCACACGACACAGAGTGTCTGTATTTCTGCTCAGAAACCAGGCTGTCAATATTCAAATCCTCACTTTTTAAAAATATTGGAATACACAACACAAGCTCAGACTTACAAGACACAGTGCCCGTGAGTTTGTGTTTCTGTACAGGATCCAGTGCACGTGGATGAAGATATAAACATGTGCCCAAGCTTGTGCAAACTTCTGACCAGGAGAGCAGCAGCTCTCGCCAGTACTTTCTGAATCTCATTTTCTAAATATACCTTGCCCAAATCACGGGAAGAACATGGTTTGGCACCTCCCAAGGGGAAACACAGATGTTTGGCTACCAATCCCTGGAATTTCTTGAACTTCTGTGGACAAAAGGGGAAAGGTCAGAGGCTGAGCAGCACTGTTTATTTTGACTCATTTTCTACCAATTGTTCGAAACCGTGCACAGATAGGGCATTTCAAGACCCATGGGGTCTGCCTGCAGAGCGTGGCAAATTCCAGTCATTCCTCCAGGCTGATGGGAGCTATTCAAGCCCCACTGAGGTAAGGTGGATCCACCAGCCCTCAGTCTGCTGCAAAGGACCTGTTCCAGACAGACCATTCTGTCCCCAGACAGACCATCCCAGCCCCATGGCACCAGTCCCATGCTCCATAGGGAAGAAATCCCAGCCCTCAGGAGGTGTCTCACCTGCCAGAAAGCTGGGTGCCCCACAGAGACAGCCTCAAGGTGGATGTCCAAAAGATTTCTTCCTTTTCAAGCAGGACCAAAAGAGAGAGAAGGAGAGAGGAGACACTTGCTGGACTTCAAATGTTCCTTTTTATCATGCACCTAGGCTTCAATTTACTTAAATTAAAGGGGTTGGTGAGGGCACTGGAAAAGGTTGCCCAGAGAAGCTGTGAATGCTCCATCTCTGGAAGTGTTCAAAGCAGGGCTGGATGCGGCCCTGAGCAGCCTGATCTGGTGGAAGATATCAGTGTCCATGGCAGGGGAATTAGAACTAGGTCATCTTAAAAGTCCCTTCCAACCCAAACCATCCTGCAATTTCTGTAAATTTCAGAATAAAATGTCTGCAACACATCCACAAAGTAAAAGGTAGCTTTTAGAATTAGATCCTAAGGCTTCAGGCAAAAAAACCCTGCAGCCCTAAAAAAAGATCTAGGATCAGCACTGTCCCTTCTTGTGTCACTCTCCTGAGGGTGGCTGCTCCCATGAGGATGGGGACTGTCTCATAGCTATTTTCCCCAGCCCAAGTAGTCACACACATGGCTATCAGAGAGCATCCCAGGCCTGGGCACTCACTGGGATGGGCACCCAAAAGCTGCTGCTCTCTGATTTGCCCCAGCCCACATGGAGCAGCAGCCTCTGGCTGCACCAAGTGCTTTCCGTGCCACCAGAGGATCTACGCTCACCGTGGGTGGTGAGCATGGGGTGGTTTCTTCTAAAAAAGAAAAAGAAAAAGAAAAAGAAAAAGAAAAAGAAAAAGAAAAAGAAAAAGAAAAAGAAAAAAGAAAAAAAGAAAAAAGAAAAAG